GAGTGGGCATCTAATCTTTATGTTGAGTTGGGTGGCACAAATGTCCATTCCATATGCTGCCGCTTTTGTTGTTGTTGTTGTGCTGTCAGATTTAAATGCAATAATTCCTACATAGCTCACTGCCTTCTACAGTAGAAGGAAATGTATATGTGATAAACTGCACATTATTTCTTTTCCCGCAAAAATTTAGGAACTACAACCAAAATCACTACAATTCCAATGACATCCAAACCCAATGTGATTGTTGTGCAAAAGACTACTGGAAAAGGAACTACAATTCAAGGGCTTCCAGGCAAAAATGTTGTCACAACGCTGTTGAATGCTGGGGTAAGTAAGAGTTTACAAGTCTCAAATCAATAGCCAAGTGACAAGGCTGTGTGGTGGCTGCTGCATTCGTTCTGGTGAAGTCCCTATTAAAAGCAAACTGCATGAGCTCCTAACAGATACAGCATGTCGTAATGTCAGGGATGTCTGAAAAGCAAGTATGTTTTGCAGGATATGAAGGCTGTTTAAAACAAGCTGGGAATGTTCTCAAAGTTAAAGGAAAATATGAATTTTTCAGCTTGCCCTTTTTTTCTTAGTTAATGGGTTTGTAATCCTTGAAGGTACTAAGTAGAAGATAATTACTGGAATCTTACGTTATTTGTGCTGTAGTGAGTACCACACTCTTGTGTTACAAATTTGCATCCCCAACCCTTTATCTTTGGAATGTAAAGGGCAGAAATCAACTGACCCTTCACAGTAGGAGCACCATCTTTCAATTTATATTGTGTGTAACACTGTAGTATCCTGTACCAGAGTACAGTATAGCGTTCAGTTATTCTTGGACAGCCTCATGTGTACTAAGAACAAAATCAAACTTCCAGCTTAAACTGGGTTTGTAAGTGCTAGTAAATAAAAATGATGCTTTATGTTCTTAGATAGAACTGTGAGATTTAATGATCAATCATGTAATCTTTAAAAATCTACTTGAATAACAGAGCTTAGAAGAGAGGGGTTTTTTAAAGTTTGTTTTTAATTTTGTTTGAGATTTTGAACTTTCCTAGTTTACAAAACTTAAAGCTGTATTTTCATGCAGTTGGAAATCTTGTGATGTTACAGAGTAGGAACCACCGGAGTGTGACGATATTTCTGAAACAACAAATCTTGGGGTTTCCAGCTACTTAATGGGTATTGGTAGGAATACTGGGAGAACTGGCAACTTACGTTGTTTCTCATTTGGTTTGTTACTGTGCAGAGCTAAAAAAGCATTTTCAATGTCTTTGCTTTTCTTAAGCTATCAGGAGTTTAGTCATATATCAGCACTATTCTAAAATCAAGTGTTTCCTGGGAAACAGCTGTGAATCTGCATTTTTTTAAATAAGTAAAATTTTAGTTAAAAAAAAAATCCCTAAGTCCATACACAACATATGTCTTGATCATGGCGATAATACAAAGATCTATATTTAAATCATTTCATTTTAGAATCTCAATTTAAGTTTTGCAGATGTGGTGTCAAAGTTAGTTTTAAAAAACATTTGCCACAGATTTGAGGGAAGTTCCACCTTAGTGAATTCTTTGAAGCAACTTGAAAAAACTCTTCGGTGTATTTTAGTTACTCTTTTTTGTTCACCTTTTCAGAGCATCTCAAAAGGTGAAGTAATGGAAAAGAAGATTTTGGTAGCTTTTCCATTCCAGACTAAGGTTTTTTGTTCTTGGTCTTTGAATGTTTTTTGTGTTGAATAAGTCTAGTTGCAGCAGCAGCAGGTTGATTTCATGGTACGCACACTCACTTATAACTGTATTTTTTTTAGAGAGGTGGGTCTCTCTGAAGAATTTCACTAAGTTAACCTGTAAACTTTGACTTCTCTACAGGGGGAGAAAACTATTCAGGCAGTGCCAGCAGGAGCAAAACCTGCTATCATCACTGCCACAAGACCCATCACAAAAATGATTGTTACACAACCAAAAGGAATAGGGTCCACGGTCCAGCCAGCCACCAAAATCATCCCAACTAAAATTGTTTATGGTCAGCAAGGGAAAACGCAGGTACAGTGAGGACTCATTTCTGTCTTGAAATGTACCCCTAAATTTTAACGGGAAGTAAATACTTTTTCACTGTGTTGCCACATTTGTTGCAGGATTAATATATGTGGTATATGTCTGTGGGGAATGAGACTTAGGGGTATAATGAGGTGACCTTGATTACAATTTCTTGAGCACAGTGTTTGCATTTGTTAGCTGTTTCTGGAAACTTAAAACAAGCCAAAAGACTGAGCCTGTTACACAGGTGAAACTTAAAACTGTCTGGTCATGGCTCTAGATGCATGTTTAAGTCTCATGGCTGATGACTAGATCATGAGAAATAAAGACACGGCATGTAGACACAGGTCATCCACCAAATCTGAGTGTTCTATTGAAGTTGTTTTCTGGTTAATGTGTGTTCAGGTTGTTGCTGTACCCTGTGGGACTGTATACAGAGAATCTGGCTTATTTCTGGACACTCAGCTTTTTCTCTGGTTGCACTTAGTATTTAAAAGAACTAAACTTTTATCAGTTATAATATTTTGCATGCTTTGATTGTTCAAGACTGTTTGTATCGCGGACTGCGGAAGAGAGGTCCTTGTCCTTATCAGTGCAGTACACATTCCAGCTCACTTGCATAGCTTTCTCGTGTCACACCACAGTTGTATCCAGCCCTGAATGACTGTTTAGTGGTTTATTGTGTTAAGTACTCCAAATTACTGAGCAAGAAGTACATTCTTGTGAATTGCCATTTACTTGGGCTTTGTGGTTTCAATAATCAGAGCAGCTGAATTGACAGACTTTTTCAGTAAATTATGGATATTATGTAGGTCTTGTACATTGATCTGTTTAAGTATCTCCATGTATTTTGACTGCTCAAATCCGTTTTCTTCAGTGTTCTTATTATACACAAAATTTGGTTTTCTGATTAGGTTCTCATAAAACCAAAGCCAGTGACATTTCAAGCAACAGTTGTGAGTGAACAAACAAGGCAGTTGGTGACTGAAACGTTACAGCAGGCATCAAGGGTAGCAGAGACAGGAAACTCGTCTCTCCCAGAAGTGAAAGAAGAACCACAAACCTACACCGATAGCAGCTCTTCTTCTACAGAGTCCTCCCAGAGCTCCCAAGGTGTGTATTAGTGTTGCATAAAATACAAATGGACTGTCTCACAAGCATGCTAGCTAGTTGCATGTAACTCACTGCATTTCCTTTTAGCACAGGTTTTCACCCCATCTCGTTAGCAGCGAGTGTCATTGTTCACTTCCCTTATGGGCGTCTTTACCTTTTATGCTCTGTTTACTGTATGCTTTTGTTTGCTATGTGAAAAGTGAAGGTAATGGTTTCCTGC